TGAGTGTACGGGGTTGAGTTTGCTGTGGGGGTTGATTAGAAGGATGTCGTTGTTGGTTTTGGAGAATTCGGCGAGCAGATAGCGCACGCTTTGAATGATGTCGGCCTGCAGAATGCTGTTAAAGAAGCCCACAAGGTCGTGGTTGAGGAAAATAAGTTCTCGTTCTGGCTGTTCTTCGTTGGCTTGGAATAACTCGTGTACCTCTTGCCACAGTTGAGGCGTGGCGATGTTTCCGAAGTGGTGAGGCCAGGTGGCTTTGAGCATCTGCTGTAGTGCCAACGCTGCAATTCTGAGAAGTCGCTCGACACATGTGTTGGAGTAGGCGATAATCGTGCGGCCCTTGTTCCACTGCTTTTTGTGCTTCATCATGATGTACCCATAGGGTATAGGTTTGTTGTAGTCGAGGAGTCTTTTGTAGTGCTTGCGAACCACTGGCGGTGTTTGCCTCTCCATGTCCTCTTTAATGTCTTCGGGGGTCTTGTCCAGGAGGAGGAATGTTTTCTCGTCCATCCACGTGTTGAACGCCGCCTGGTTGTAGATGTTGGGGCAATATATCATGAGGTGGGCGTTGGCGCGGTCCTCCTTGTGAATGATGTAGTTGTCCGGCAGGGCGGACGTCAGGTGCTTGATGAGCCTGTGAGTGAGTCGAGGTTCGTGGCGTTGCTGTTCCTTGTGCTGCTGCCACTGCTCTTCAAAGAATGCCTCGAAACTCTCAAGGATGCGGTCGTCGTTGGGAAACAAATGATGCTTCAGCCATCTTCGTAGTTGATCGAGAACTTGGTCGTGTAGTCGTTGTTTGGACGGGAAGAAGGCGTTGCAGGCGCCGACGTTGGCGAAGGCTGCTCCGAGGTTGGACTGGCCCTTGCAGAAGTCAAGTGCTTCCAGGCCTGTGGCGACGTGTCCTTCATGTTGTTCAGCTCGGGGATGCTCAAGGAGAAACTCGTGGCACTTGCATGGCTCACGTTCCCAATGTCGTCCTTGCGCTGTGACCTTGCACATGTGGTTCCATAAGACCTTGTTGAGGGCGGGGTGTGGCAGTTCTTGTACGGTTTTGGTCGGGAGGTGGTAGGGAATAAGAACGTGCCGATGTTGTCGAATAAGCTTGGACACCCACTTCTGTACGTTGTTCTTGAAGGCGCTGTGGGCTAAGAAGGGGATCTTGAGTGGAAGGTTGAACTTGGGCACCGTGGCGTTGCGAAATGTGAGTACTCGTCGGAGTCGGGCTCGCGCCTTGGACCGCCAGGGTTGTTCCATGTGGTTTGCCAGGCGGTAGAGGAGCGTGACAGTCTCGTTGTCGTGCTTGCCGCTGCGGAGCTCCCGGGACGCATCGTACTCCTGCTTGGTGTCGCTGGAAATGGCGTACAGGATCTTCCAGAATTGTGCCTGCTTGGGTAGCATTGACGAGGTGTCGCCTTTGCCCTTGAAGTCGTCTGCGAATCTTTTTGAACAGCTGTTTGGCCAGGGTATCCGGCGGTTTTTGTAGGTGAAGTTGTTGGCGCGCTGGCACCAAACCATGAGCCTTCTTGACGAGCTCCTTTGTGAGACAGTGCTCTTCGGCCCAGGCGTCAATATACTCCGAATGTTGCGAAAGAAGCAAGGTGCTGAATAGCTCGTAGTTCTGCTTGTCGTGCCGGTAGCGAATGGCTATTTCTGTCTTAGGTAGCTTAAGCTGCTTGAGTTGCTTCAGTTTGGCGACCCTGT